TCCTTTTGATCAAGTCCTTGTCATTATCTCTTTAATCTTTAAGTCTTCAAACAATTCCCAACATTATGTGCGCACTTTCTTTACCAAAACCCTTATTTAAAAACATTGAAAAACACAAAAAATCATTCCAGCAAAGGGGGTAGTCCAGCAAGAAAGTTTCTGTCATTATTTTTTTTGAGGCCCCCAAAATAATGTCTAGAGATTTGGGGCTCCATTAAGATTAATGTTATGAGATGTCCATTGAGATTTGATGATTTTGAAGGTCTTTGAATACAGCTTTCTATTTAAGTTTTTCAGATTTCCATTGAGATTTGATGTTTTTGAAGGTTTTTGATTGCAGACTTCCTTTCAATTAGTATTGCCAGAGATAGCTAAGCAATGATTCCTTTCATTTTAGTATTGCCAGAGTAGCTCCAGGGGTAGCTAGCTAAGGATTCCTTATTTATTTATCAATTGATTGGTTTTCTAGCATATTATTCTGGAGTCTCAATTGTTGAGGGGGGGGGGGGGGGGGGGGGGGGGGGGTTGATTAATCAAGATCCAACATTATTATATAATGGCTCTCCATTCTTCTTACTATTCATCCACCTTGTACCAGCCAACCTGGACTGGACCATCTATCATAGAATCACTAATCACGGATCGGCCTACTACCACCCAAGCGGGAGAACAGCTCACCGCCCGCCGCCCGTCCGACGCGGGCCTGCCGAACCCGCCGAACCCGGCACCCCCCGTCTCTCTGTCCAACGGATCAAGGAACCTCATAGCGATGGCCTCCATCCCAGAAGCGATGGCCTCCAACCTCCAACCTACTATAGCGATGGCTTCGATCGCCAAATGCGCCGCCTTCCGGTTCTCTAAGATCAACTTGTAGGACCCTGGGGCAGTCTCGAGGGACTCGCGAGCACCTGCGGAAAGGCCCGACAAAAAAAACGAAGCCGGAGGTGCACGGAGCGAAGCGCCCGAGGTGCTTGCGGTGTTTCTAAGGCGTAAGGCGCCCAGTGATTCCCAGTGAACTGAGTGAGAAAGTGGTCATTGAAGTGAAGGGTGGTAAGAAGACATGCCTACACATCTTACCTCACTTGTTCTGGGTGTGCAGACCGGTCCGATGTTTGTCCGGTCCTCCATACCTAGAGTGGCCCTTGAAAACACCATACATCATGTCGGGAAATGGATCAATGAACATGTGAGAGGCGTCTAGTGGGTAGACCTCGCTCTGTCACAATGAGGTCAAGAGCTACACAAATGGGTCACGAGGTATACGTATGTCCATCTGTGTTCATACTTGAAAACTCAAACCACCGCACATCACTCCGCCACTGTCAGGGCAGCCAAATGTGCTGCACACCAGGGAATGATCGTGTCACAGGGGAATCTGAAACTTGACGATCGATGGGCGCCACATTCGACATCGGAATGCGGATGGCCTTTCGGAGCTTGACAGATTGTCCATTGAGGGAATCTCTGCTCTTTCCAATAGACATGCAGGTGAATTTTAAGTGAATGCCATGGCCACATGGAAAGCGATTGTTGCAATTGGACGACGGTTAGACCCAAAAACCAAATTGTAGACGGCTTTTGAAACCTTTGTCCAATCAAAGCTGTTGGATTTTGTGTGTTGGACTTAGAACCATCAAACGACACTTGGGAAATAATTTGATTTCAGATTTTGTGCCCGTGGCGGTTGAAGCTCTGGACATCACAGAAACGCACGATGTCAAAACGTGTCAATTTTCCAACAGGTCTACCAACTGTAAACTATTAGATCCTCTCCCAAAGCCACCTACAAATGTGTTTAAATGTGTCAAAACGTGTCTTCGCATGAGAGTTGACAACCCCATTTGAAGGTATCATGTGGAAATGGAGCATGAGATAGCATGAGTGATGTGACCAGTACCCTCCGACAAGTGTCATTTGGTTTTTGAAGTGGGGAACTACCTGTAACCTTAACAGCTGTCAATTGGACGACTGCTAGAGAACATGTTCCACCAAATGACCCCTGTCTGAGGGTGCTGGTAGGTCGTGAGTGTGAGTGTCACGCTGCAGACTCGTCTTCTTGAGGCGTCCTCAGCGCCACTGGCACCGGGGCTGGAGCACCAGCAGACGACTCTGGCACACGTCGCCGTCTTTTGTGTGAATGCCATGGGACCAGCCGCCAGGTCCCGAACCAGCAACACCCATTTTCGGGTGGTGATTGGATGGAACATCACAATATATGTATATATAAATGTATACATAGTCTTGGTGGCGCTGGAAAGAACTTGCAGGTTTCTGTCTCGCGGCTTCGCAGGTTCTTCCTGCCAGTCTTCAGTGCTCAGTGGTTGTCGTTCTCCCACCCCCTTCTCTCCAAACAATCATCGCCACCGCCAGCACAGCGGAGCTGCGTAAAGCAAGCAACGGTGACCTCCTCGGAGAGTTCAAGTCGCTTCATACATCGCAACCCGGCCGCTGCCGCAGCGCCGAAGGTTCAGGACATCGGTTCTCTTCTCCGGATGGTGGCGCGCTCCAAGTGCCAGGCGCTGGCGCAGGTCAAAGCGGATGAAACGAGCCATGGACCGTGCGGACGGATGTTGGACCCATCGGCTGAAGGCCGTCTCATCCTGCCCGAAGTGACGTGGTGTCTCGGATCACGTTTCGCTGACTTCCACCCGGTGCACCGGAACCATCACTACCTTACAGACTTGGACCGGAGTCAGCAAGAAAAACCACACCGGAGCAAACCCAGAAGCCGGTTTTGTTGAGGCCTCCTTGATTCGGGCAGAAAGCGGTGTCTCCACCTGGCCGTGGCTAAGGCAGCTAAGGCCTTCCAGGCGTTCTGACCCTGGCCCCCACCATCATGGCGGTCTTTTCTTCCACGGGCCCAAGTCAGTGATGTCTCTGGAGTTTCGCGTGTCGGATGAGATGAGACGAACACTGTCAAGCCGACGAGTGAGCCGACAGGTCTTCGCACGGGCACACGGATGGGGAGAAGAAGAGATCACAAGTTCCTTGCCTGATGGTGGTTCCAAGGCACTCAGGTTTCACACCAGTAACCCAGCCACCAATGTCAACTGGCAGCTCCTGTTTGCTTCGTAAGTCGCCTACATATATGTGTTCAGTGGTGGGCACGTTCTCAAAAATGCTCAACTCAAAGCACCCTGCGAGTGACCGTGGGAGCACCCTGGGAGTCTCAAGACGCTCAAGTCCTTGACCTCACAAGGCCAGGACGTAGAAACTCAGATCTTATTTGGCCACGAGCCGCATGCCCTTCGATGGTTTCCCAATGCGTCCCTCAGGCAGGGTTTTGGGCTCAAAACATGTCGCACAGCGATCATCAGCAACACTGAGAAGATAAACTCTGACTTTGTAAGTGACTTTTGAGCCAAACCGAATCTAAAAGTTGCTACTTGGCAGATCTTGACAGATTTTCCGTGCCAAGCTCAGCAGCGGATGCGTCAGCGGATGCTTCAAGCTACGGAGGAACGACCGAGATCCTTCTTCTACCCACTACCACAGTCTGCCCAACAACAAGTACATATTGGATTGGCCAAACGGCCCGGGAAACCATACAGAAGATTCCCCAGTTTCGGGGATTCACCCAGTTGGGAACATATACAAAGTCATCCGCTCAGCAATTCGACAATATCTGCGAGCGCTTGGGGTCGAAGTTGTGAAGTTTCGAGGCGTTGGGCAACCTTCCATGTGGCCAACAAAAGACATCAAAAGACCCCCGCTCAGTGCGCCGGCCAAGTGCCAAAGGGGTCCTGAGGAGTGGCGTACTACTGAGCCATGCTGAGCCAATATCCCAAATGAGAAGCTACTCCAGTAGATGCAAAAGTGCCATCCAGTTCATTCAAGCTAGCTTCGGCAGCCTGCTGGTCCAAAAACGTCAAAAATTCCACGAGACAGTCAGGCGCGTCTTGGAAGTGCGCGGCTTGACGTCCACGTGTTCAAGTGGAGATTTTCACCCCTCGTTGAAGCCAAAACATCGTGTCGTGACAAGGCACGAGTTGGACATGCGACATTCTACCCACCAAAAGAGATCTCAAATAGCAGAGAAGGCCTACAATGTACAGTCCCTAGGGTGAGAAGGTGATGGGAGACTATTATTATGTAGGCTTGGAGGCTTCAATGACCTTCTGAGTATGTGGATCTCGGTATTTTTAGGGGCAGGCAACTTTTGACGAAAAAATGGCCTGTCCTTAATCTTCGTCGCCACCCCAAAACCACCAGTCATGTCGTCAATCTAGCACCCCCATCTTGACCATCTTACGATGCCGGTCTCTTCGAGACAGCCCCTGTCCGCGCATCGCAAAATGACGGATTCCGTCTGAGCCTTCCGTGTGACATCCATGGACCCCAGGACGGAAGACATCCACCAAGCAGAACAAGGTGGCAAGGCTTACCACCCAGACACTCCATGTATGGATTTTGTTTGTCGATCTACATTGACCCCTCAAACCACCCCAAGTATAGGTAAATATGCCATACATGGAGCATCTGGGCCATGAACTTTGGAGCCGACCGAAGAAATGTCAGGGTTCGCTGTGCAGGATCTACAGCTTAGTCGTGTCAAACAGAAGAATCTCTGGTGACCGCGGTCGTTCATGCGTGTGTTCTTGATGTTTGACAAGATTGAAACCTGAAGACCGGCGACCTTCTCTCCAACTCCGACGGATGAAAAGAAGGGTCCGGACAACTTCGTGGCAAGCAAGCTACAACTTCGTGCCTTGCAAGGGCCGGGCACGCCTTGGTGTCCCATACCTTATCGTCTATAAATCAAACGCGTTGGGCTCGGCTTGGAGTCCTAAGAGAATGATTGGAGCAATGCCAGCGTTCATCCTGCAACCCAAGAAAAAAAGTCCGACCTTGGTGCATGGGCCGACAAAAAAAACTGCATGAGCAGGGGACCAAACCTCACGCTTCAATTCCGCTTTGGAACCAGGCCGAAATCTGTCTGAAAATCAATCTCAGGACTCAATGCTGCAACTCTCAGAGATTTGCCCAACAAAAACACATCCAATCCCTTCCATTCTTGGATGGCCTTTTTCGAGCGGCTGTCGCCAGCAGACGGGGACAAGACCGCGGTCTGTCACAAGAGTCACCCCTTTGCACAATGATCGTGTCAAAGACTTTCATTCTGCGGTCGAGGAATCGGTACTTGTCCCGGCAGATCACGTTTGACGACACTGTCGTTCTCAACACGTGGACGTTGAGAGTTCCGAACATGCAGAATCATGTCCCACTCCTGCGGCCATCATCCAGATCTCAATAAGCCATGTTCATCCGGAGCAAAGGACCCAAGGCCTCCCAATAATGGCCACTGAAAACATGGTGTTCTCCCCAGCACCGCCTCTAGCAGTGTAGCAGGCAAGGGATAAGCAGGAAAAACCAATGCTGAAACCCGGAGGCTTGGGCATTACCCAACAACCCTCAACGAAAGACCAGTGAACAGCTTGAACCCTCCAAAATCGGTTGGCATGTGTGGTGCCTCACCACCGTTCAAAACCTGGAAAGGGTCCTGGTGGTGCTAGTTGGAGTGCATGACGGCCATTCCAACGTCCAACGTGTCCCGGCGACCCCAGGGCTCCACCCTGGGGTCCCAAGCGCCACAGGCGAGACGCCCCTCTTACAGATGCCGCACAGCTGTCCCAAGAGTTTCATCCTCCATCTTTTATCCGGGACAAATATAATGCAATCCTCGGATTAATCAACGGCCCCCCCCCCCCTAGGGGGGGTTGCCTAATCCTATGTTTGCATTACCACATACAGTATATTCACCCGAATTTAAGGATTCACATAAATTCCGTTCGAAAAGACAGACACAAAACCCTAAACAAACAGGTTCACAGGTTCACCTCTCAGGGACCCCTAGCCCGTGTCTAAAGAGAGACACCTCTCTCGAACGGTTTTTTAAAGCTAAACTATG